GGTTCCCCGGGCACGGACCTATACCACTCGTCTGTCAGTGGCCATGCTGTGGCGGCAGCTCATATACAAAAAGACGAAGACTGGTAATGGATGTTAGCTGAGGGTGAATCTTCCTCAGCAAAAGAATAAAAATAAAAAGTAAAAAAAAAATAATATGCAGCTACAAAAATTGATGAACAAGATGAACAACAATCTCAAAAACTTAATATTGAACAAAAGAAGCCAGATTTATAAAATGTATTTGGTGTGATTTAATATATATAAAGTTTGAATAAATATAAAATATTAATTTTATTAAATGCATACATCATAGAATTTTTATATCTTTCTCATGGATTGTACATTTTTATTATATTGTAATACTCTTAATAACTAATTTTTTTTGTCTTAAAGTCTGTTTTGTCTGATATCAGTATGGTATATCAGCTTTTTTAGTTAGTATTTGCCTGATCTTTATATATACTTTACTTTCAAACTTTCTATGCCCTTATGTTTTAGGTGAGTCTTTTTTTAAATGGATATCACTGGATTAATGATTATTATTACCACTATTGCTATCATTATCATTGTTATTATTATTCGACCTGACAATATTGACAATATCTGTCTTTTACTTTTTATGTTTAGTGAATTAACAACTATGATTATGCATATATTTGGACTTGTTTCTATCACCTTTTGATTTCTATTTGCAACATCTTTTGCATATTTCCTTTTTTTCTTTTCTTGCCTTCTTTAGAGTACTTGAGTTAATTATTTCTTTCTTATTCCAATTTTTTTTCCTCTGCTGATTTGTAATTTATATACTCTATTAGTGGTTACCCTTGAAAGTTTACCATGTGCAGGTAATTAACAAAGCAAAATTAAACAACAACTCAACTATAGGACTTTAGCTCTAATCTTCATCTCTACATACTACTGTGGTTCAATATTTCAAATATTTATTTTTTAACTACACTAAATAGATGCTATGTCACTTTCTATAAGACATTTATTCATTTGGATATACCTACATGTTTATGAACTTATTTATTCACTATACCTTTCTTTGTGCTAGGCCATTTTTCTGGGATTATTTCTTTTCTACTTGCAGTATAATTCCTGGAGTATTTGGGGATTTTATTATGCTCTACACCTGGCATTTTATTATGTTCTGTAAGTACAGTTATAAAAACTACATATTCTTTTGGAGGTCACCAATTCCCTCTATATTGCTGAAACCTATGGGTACTTTCCTATCTATATCTTGCTTTACTTCTACTGGACACCTGAGTGGTAACCATGTACTCTTCCTTAAAACTCATTGCAATTGTAAATATCTATAAATATTTGGAAATTAAACAATACATTTATAAATAAACCAAGGATCAAAAAGGAAATAACAAGGGAAGTTAGAAAATAGTTTGATCAGAATAAAAATTAAAAAACAACATAGGAAAATTTATGAGATGCACTAAAGTGGTACTTCGAGAGAAATTTATAGCTTTAAATGCCTACATTAGTAAAAAGAGAAACATGTCAAAATAAATAATTTAATCTTTCACCTTAAAAATATACAAAGAGAAAACCAAACTGAAGTCAAAGAGAGAGAAAATAATAGAGTGGGAATGAATGACATAGAAAACAGAAAAACAATGGAGAAAATCAATAAAACCAAAAGCTGGTTCTTGAATAAATCAACAAAATTGACAAACTCTTAGACCAACCAATAAAAAAGACACAGATGGTTCGGGGCCAGCCCAGTGGTGTAGTGGTTGAGTTCGCAGGCTCTGCTTCAGCAGCCTGGGTTTTGCAGGTTCGAATCCTGGGCACGGACCTGCGCACTGCTCGTCAAGCCATGTATGGCAGTGTCCCCATGCAGAGTAGAGGAGGATGGGCACAGATGTTTGCTCAGGGCTAATCTTCCTCAGCAAAAAGAGGAGGATCAGCAACAGATGTTAGCTCAGAGTCAATCTTCCTCACCAAAAAAAAAGTAGTGAAAATTAGGAATGATAGAGAGGACATTACCACTGACCTCTCAGAAATTAAGAGAGTTACGAGGGAATATTATTAAAAACTATACCAACAAATTTGACAATGCAGATGAAATGAAGATATTCCTAGAAAGTCACAAATTACAAACACTGACTCAAGAAGAAACAGAAAATGTGAATAAACCTGTAACAAGTAAAAAAAATTGAATTAATAATTAATTTTCCCCCACACACACAAAAAAGAAACTCCTAGGCCCAAATGGCTTCACTAGTGAATTTTATCAAGCATTTAAATATGAAATAATACCATTACTGCAAAAATTCTTCCAAAATATAGAGGAGGATAAAGTACTTCCCCACTCATTGATTAGGCTGGTATCACCCTGATGCCAGGGCCACAAAAAAGCATTACAAGAAAGAAAAAGAAAACTACAGACCACTATTGTTCATGAGTATAGATGCAAAAATCCTCAATAAAATATTAGCAAACAGAATCCAACAACATATAAAAATATTATACACCATGACCAAGTGGGACTTATCTTAGGAATACAAGGTTAACATCCAAAAATCAATTTATGTGATATACCATATTAATACAACAAAGGATAAAAACCAAATGATCATCTCAGTAGATGCAGAAAAAGCATTTGACAAGATCCAACATTATCCAGAAAAACTATCCTCAGGGGAAGAAGTAAAATGGAAAATATACTTTTAAAAAAATCCAACACTTATTCAAGGCAAAAACTTTTAACAAACTTGGGATAGAAGGGAATATCCTCAACCTCATCAAGGGCCACTGCTGAAAACCTACAGCAAACATCACACTTAATAGTGAAAGGCTGAACGTTTTCCCTCTAAGATCAGGAACAAGGCAAGGATTCCACTCTGCCTCTTTTTATCAACATTGTACTGGAAGTTTTAACCAGTGCAACCAGTCAAGAAAAAGAAGTCAAAGGCATCCAGATTGAAAAGGAGGAACTGACACTAGCTCCATTTGCAGATGATATCATCTTCTACAGATAAATATAAACAAAATTCACTAAAAAACTATTAAAACTAATCAGTTTAGCAAGGTTGCAGGATGCAAGAGTAATATACAAAAATCAACTGTATTTCTATATAAAAGGAAAGAACAATCTGAAAATGAAATTGTCAAAAGAAACAAATTTTTGTAACTATGTATGGTAAAAATTTTTTGTAACTATGTAACATAGACTTACTGAGTTAACTAGACTTACTATGGTGATCACTTTACATTGTATACAAATATTGAATCATTATGTTCTACACCTAAAACTAACATAATGTTATATGTCAATTATACCTCAATAAAAAATAATAATTTTAAAAAGTGAAAGTGAGCTACAACTCCATACACAATAGCATTAAAGAAAAAAATAGTGAGGAGTAAACTTAACAAACTGCAAGACTTGTACACTGAAAATTACAACACTTTGATGAGAGAAATAAGAGAAGATCTAAATAAATGGAGGAACATTCCATGTTCAAAGATGGGAACACTAAATCCTTAACAATCCCTGTCAATGTTGTTAAGAGGGCAGTTCTCTCCAAATTGATCTATAGATTCAATGCAATCTCCATCAAAATTGCAGCAGGATATTTTTTGGCAGAAATTGACAAGCATATCCTAAAATATATATGGAAATGCAAAACCTAGAATAGCCAAAACAATTCTGAAAAAGAAGTTGTAGGACATTTGCTTCCCAATTTTAAAAATACGATAAAGCTACAGTTATCAAGTACAGTGTGGTACTGACATGAGGATAGATCTTCAGATTAATGGAATAGGAATGAGAGTCCAGAAATAAATCCTTATATTTATAGTCAATTGAATTTTGACAAGGGTGGCAAGGCAGTTCATTGGGGAAAGGATAGTCTGTTCAACAAACAGTGCTGGGACAACTGGATATCCACATGCAAAAATGCGAACTTAGACCCTCACCTCACACCAACAATTAACTCAAAATGGATCATACACTTACCATCTAAGAGCTAAAATAATGGCACTTTTAGAAGAAAACATAGGACAAAGTCTTCAAGATGTTAGTTTAGGCAAAGATTTCATAGATACAACACCAGACGCATGGTCCATAAAAGAAAAAGAAAAGGTGAATTGGACCTCATCAAAATTCAAACCTTTTGCACTTCAAAAGACACCATTAAGAAATGAAAATAGAAGCAACAGACTAGAAGAAAGTATTTGAAAAAACATTTATCCAATAAAAGACTTGTGTCTCTTACAAGTCAATAATAAGACAATCCCTTCAGAAATTAGACAAAAGATATGAACAGAAATTTCACCAAAGATATAAGAATGATTAATCAGCACACGAAAAGATACTCAACATCCTTTGTTAATAAATAAATACAAATTAAAACCAAAATGAGATAATATTTCACACCCTGGAATGGCTGTAATAAATAAGATAGACGATAACAAATGTTGGCGAGTATACTGAGAAACGAGGATCCTCATACATTGCAGATGGGAAGGTAAAATGGTGCAGCCACTTTAGAAAACAGTTCGGTAGTTTCTCAAAAAGTTAAACCTAAAACTACCATGAAACCCAGGATTCACCCCAGGTTTCTATCAAAGAGAAGAGAAAACATTCACACAAAGCATTTCTCATAACAGTCTCAAACTGGAAACAATCTAAATGCCCACCACCTGGCGAATGAATAAACAGAATGTGGAATATCCATAAATGGAATACTATTCATAGAAAAATGAACAAGCTGCTGACACACGCCACCTCGTGGATAAACCTCACAGACATTGGGCTAAGTGAAACGAACTAGTCATGAAAGGCCACATATTGTATGATTCCATTTATAAGAAATGCCCAGAAAAGGCAAATTAATAGAGACAAAGTAGACTGGTGGTTGCTTGATACGTGGAGTAAAAACGTGGATTAACTATAAATGGGCATGAGGGATCTTATTGAAGTATGAAATCTAGAACTGATTTATGCTGATGGCTACACCACTCGCTGAAGTTACTCAAAATCAGCCCGGAGCCCGGCCCGCACGGCAGGAAACGGCGGCCGGCACTGCTGCCCGGCTCCCTCCCGCTCGGGTTCGGACTCGGACTCCGGCTGAGGCCACTTGCGACCTGCGACGCGCGTGAGCCGCATGGCCGCCTTGGGGATGGGCTGCAGCTCCGTCCCAGCTGACAGGCCGAAGCGCCCGCCGGGCCGCCGGCAGCTTCTGCTCCTCCCGCCACCGGCCGCTGCGGGAGCCCGGGCGCTGCCTGGCCGCGCTCGCCGGCGGTCTGGGGCGCCTCACATGCCTCCCTGCTGCTCCGCTCCTGCTCGGTGGTCCCTACGCCGCCCGCCTCCACCCCCGCGCCGCCCGGGCCGCTTGAAGACTGGGAGCACTGGCGCCCCGGGCCCTCCACTCCCCTCGCCCAGCGCTCCTCCCAAGCGGCGTGTGCAGGTACCAGCCCCGCCTCGCCCCAGGTACTGCCAGTGCCGCCGGCGTCCTCCGCCTGTGCCACTGCCAGGCCGCCGTCCTCGCTTCCCAGAGTGTCTGCAGCTGGAGCGCAAAAGGAGAGATTTCACCTCTTCTGAGAATAGCAACTTCTACTTTGACTCCCATGCCTTAGTGTGTTTACTCAAAGAAAATGGGCTTACTATTCAACAAGCAGAAATCACTGTCTGCGCCTTGGTCAAGATCACGGAGGCCAACATGGATATCTTCTACAAAGATATGTCACCAAGATGCAGCAGGAGATCCCTCTTCAGCAAACAGTGTCTCAGATTGCTACGGTGAAAAAGGATATGAGTATTTTGGAGAAGAGTGAATTTTCTGCCTTCAGAGCAGAAAATGAGAACATAAAACTTGAACTACATCAGTTAAAGGATGAAGTGATCTAAGCTGGAACAGATACCAAATTAGACTTTAATCTAGAAAAGAGTAAAATAATTGTATTCATTGAATGAAAGGAAACTGCTGGAAATGAGGACAGACATAGTGGCATTGCATGCCCAGCAAGATCAGGCCAGCACCCAGACACTGAGATTGCTGGCCTCAAAACCATGGTGCACCGTGCAAGCTTGATAATATTAAATGTTTAGCAGGATCTGTATTTACCTGCCTAACTACCTCTGGGACTTTATCACCTGTGGGGATATAATGAAGTCTCTATTTAAAGAGAAAAAAAAGTTACTAAAAACTATTGAACTATAAAAAATCAAAAGCAAACCAAAAACTCATTCCATCCTTGGCTGATGTGCCACAACTCCCATGCGCTTTTCTTATGACTCCTCTGGTCACTCCTGAGTCCCCTATACAGGGAAATATGCTCCAGTTTTTCCATAAATATATGGTTTTATAGAGCTCTAACCTAAGGCCTCTGTTCTTTACATTTTGCAAAGAGTTTAAACATATGTATAATCTCTGTGTGGTCTTTAAAAAAATCCATGACTTTAAATATGGGTTTTATATTGAAAAATTCAAAATTTTATTGCCAGCGTAATTGTCTTGAATAAGATCTAAAATTTTATTTGCAACTAGCTATCGCACATATGCATTATGCTATATTGCCTATAGGGTAGATTTGCCAATAAAATGCTAATTTTAGACATACAAATAGAGAAGTCCTAGGGAAGATGCAGAGATGTCTTCCTAGACTGTTTCTCTCCCTTACGTTTCTACCACATCCACTGTCTCCATGATAACCACTCAAATTCAGAGTCCAGTCTCCACAAAAACTCATCCAACTGCTCAGGACACGACTGACAAGTGGCCTTACCCTGACTTCTCACTGGTTGTGTGGTAATTAGCATCTCAGCTGTGATTTTCTGAAATTTTCTGGGATTTTCTGCTGAGTGGTCCTGCAGCTTTTGAACAGAAGGCACCAACAGTCCCCAATCAGCATCTCCATGTGAATAATTGGAAATCAGTACTATTATTTTTAGATTTTTAATAAGCCTGGTGAAAATACAACATTCCAGCCATCTCCCTGTCATGTTCTTAGCCACAGGGTGATTTTTTTTGTAACTACAAGACTCCACACAACAGAAAAAAGAGACCAGCCTGGCTGAAAGAAACTCCCTGACTCTGCTCAAGACTCAGGAGAGCTCAAGGACCTCGGTGGACTTGCGACTACCCCAGAGAATTCAGGACCAAGGAGAGCGACCAAACAAGGCACTCTGTGAGAGGGACTCCTCCTACAGGTTGGCTCTGATCCCAGGGCGGCATCCCTGACCCTCCATTGAGAGCATCACTCCGACTCTAGAGAGAGAAGAACCAGGCCTGTGGGTTGTGCTTATGGGCTCAGGGCAACCTGGGCTCCGCCAAGCAGTGCCATCTCCCAGCAGTGCCCTGAGTCCGACTGGGTGGGCACAGCCAGGGAAAGGCCTGGAGAAGTGAGGGGGCCCACTGCCCATGGCTTTGTTGACTGTCACTGTGATTTCCCAGCTTCTGCTTCAGCTGCTGAACTCCTGGGCAGGACTGACTTTCAGCGCTCTACAGTGCTGAGCTCATTAACTCACAGCTGCCTCACAGCATCCCTCCCTGGGGTCTCCCTGGGAGAGAAGAGCTGCTAGGGGTAAGGCCCTGGAAAGGACCAGGAGGGCCTGGGATTGTCTGTGCCTTCAGCTTTGCATTTCAGGGTCATGAAAAGAGAGTTTAAGGACTGCCTGTCACAGAATACAGGGTACAGAGAAACCTAGTGTCCTCCTGGCTGCTCCTCCTACAAGCCCTGAGAGAAAACCAGTCCATTAAAAAAAATATACCAGAGACACACACTTACTTATACACAGTACACTCCTAGCAGGGATGTTGTCTGAACAATTTCCAGTGAGTGAAGCTGCTCACTTCAACTGATAGGAGGTGGAAAAATCCCCCAATCACCAGGTCCCCATCCCTGGAGAATCCGGGCCTGAGTTGCTGGAAGCAGGGGGCCCTCACCGTCCCACACTCAGTGAGAGGACCCCACAGGAACAGAGAGAGGAGAAACAAAGAGCATCAGGGCAGCTCTTTCCCTCCCCAGACTCTGGGCTCTGCAGCCAGAGAAGCAGGAGTGGCTGGAAGTAGCTCCAGCTGCTTCCAAGGGAAGAGGCTTCACAGGAGATGGTCTCACTGGGCTGGTCCCTACTGCCCTGGAATGCTGGGCACAGCTGAGCAAACACAAGTGTCATGTGTCAAGCCCTGTCGTGGGACTAGGGCAGTGATCAAGGGACAGAAGCTCTTATAAGGCTTTGCTGGAGCTTAGAGAACACTTCCAGGGCCCTTGCTCTGGGAAATGGGCAGGGCCCTGCTCCCTCTCCCACCTGCCCTCTTAGTATTTCTGCCTAGCCTGGTCAGTCACTCTTGGCTCTGGGGATCAGTCCTGCCAGGGGCACTGCACCTGTGTCCCCAACTCTGAGCAAAAAAATATATGCTCAACAGTTACCTGGGAATCTCCTTTCTCTAGCCTTTCTGCCCTCACTAGTGACCTTGGGGCCACAGGCAGGATGCTCTGTGCTCCCTGGGCCCCCCACCCCACCCAAAGCTGGAGAAGCCTCTCTGACCCTTGTCTTTTCCAGCAGATTCTCTGCAGTAACTCTGGAGGTTACACTGAACAAACATCTGTGTGCGGGTGACAAGGTCACAGAGATTTTAGGGTGGCCTGGGCCAGACCTCACACATGGGTCTGGCCCTTGGATGCTAGACCCATATAGGGGGACTTCCTCCCCCAAGACTAGCACCACATAGAAACACAAGTCCAGGCAGCTGCAACCTGATGTCGCCATCCTGACAGTCCTTCCTGCAGATTTTCCTCCCTAGCTGAGTTAGGAAAAGAGAACACAAGTTGTTTTCCCCAGTCTTAATGTGCCTCCCTCAGGCTAGCATCCTTCTTTCTTCCAGAAACTGTACAGTTCCCTCAGGTGATCATCTAGGGCCAGATTGAGCCTCAGCCCTTCTGGACCATCATGGACAAGTCTATCAGCTATCTCTAACCACGGCTCTGCAACTTGGGAGAAGTTCGACACTCCAGAGAAAATGGGCCTGTTTTTACAGGAAACTGAGAGGTACATAAAGTATTCAAAAATGTTTGTCTCATTCCACCAATCGCCTTTGAAAACAGAAAGTGTGCCTCCTTACAGTCATTTTGAGGGTTTTAATACTTATTAGACAGGAGTTCAGTGGAAGTTATGTGGAGAAAGTTCATGAAATGTTTTCCCTGGTATCAAACACTATAACTTGGTTTAGGATTGGGGACTGCCTGAGGCCCCACATGCAGCCATGTAGGCATCTCAGTCCTTTCTCCAGGGTGTGGGCTCTTTCTTTGGGAATTTGCGGCCAGTTTTCCTGATGCTTCACAGTGGCCACATCCTAGGGAAACTTGTGAGGATGATCTCCCTTCCACTTGTCATCCACTACTTGTTTTTTCCAGTCATTTTAATAATTGAAATGAATAATACATCATTTTTATAAATTTAAATTCATTAAATGATAATTGTAATAATATTTTAAACAAGTGATAAAGTAGAATATAGTTAAATGGTAGAATTAACCCACACATCTATGGACAGCTAATCTTTGACAAAGGAGCCAAGAACATACAATGGGGAAAAGAAAGTCTCTTCAACAAATGGTGTTGG